CTATGAAAATGCTGCTTTTCAAGCCACAGGTACAGATGGCTTGCCAAACCAGATATTTCTTTGCGAACTTTGACAGTTTCATGTGCTTGAAAACATCTGCTACCTTTCCCCTTCCTTTTGCCGTATAAAACTCCTGTCCCGGAAGCTGCTTGTAGTCGGCTTTGACGTAGGTTTCGTCGTCCATTACCACGCAGTCAAACTTCGTCAGCATCGTCGTGTACAGCCTCCGGGATCGCGCTTTGGCCGTCGTATTTTGTTTATCATCGCGATTTGGAGTCACTACCTTCTTGTAAGTCGATAGTCCGGCTCGTTTTTTGGCTCGATGCACGGTTGTAGACGATACACCCAGCTTATTTGCGGCATCTCGGAGAGAGAGGTTAGGGTTTCGCTTGAAACTACCGGCAACTCTCTTTGTCGTCTCAGCGGCTTCCGGTTTTCGATTTCCCTCCGATCCAGACTTCCTGGCTGTCGACAAACGTTCCCCAAACACTTTAATTACATTTGTAACGGTTGATTTGGCAACTTTTAGCGATTTTGCCAACTTTGCGTGCGAGTAGCTCGGATTTTCGCGATGCGCGAGCAAAATTTTGATACGCTGCTCTTCTTGCTTGGACGTCATTTTGACAACTGAAGAGTGAAATCCAAAATCAAAATAGGAGCAACATTCTACACGCACACACCTTCAAAATGAGGGGTGTTCAGGTTTTTTAAATGCAAAATTGAAAGAAATACGTCAAGTTGATATTGACCAAATTTTGACCGTATCACCCTTTACGCTTGAGTAATGCACCACAACTGCAGAGCAGATTTTTCGATGTTTCACGTTCCAAATTACAGAAAAGACAGATATCACTCTGAACCCGACCAATGTTCTTCATGTGATATCTACTAAGAAAGTGCCCAGTTACTAGGCCAGTGTATATACTAAGAGCTATTTTATTGACCTCTAAGAGCTTTTTGGTGTATGTTATATTAGAAGTTATAAATCTTTTCGACTGGTTGCTCTTTGTGACAGTCGTCCAATTTGCCATCACCCTCTTGCCAGTTTCCTCTGTGCGGTAGCCTCTTTTGATTTTGGCCACCACACTAACAAAGCATACGCTACTTTCGTACGGACTATTGATGTGTAAATCCACATTGTCATTTTTAGTTTCAAACCCCACTTTCTTCCAATAGTTTTGTAGCATGCCCACAGGGCACTGCAACACTGGGCCAGGAATGCAATCTAGTGGAGCACTAGATTGTATTTCTGGCCCAGTGTGCACTGGTTGCTTTGTTAATCACAGAATCAAGCTGAGCATTCCAATTCAACTTGGCGTCCAAAATAACTCCTAGGTATTTGATCTGCTCACTAAGATGGATCTGCTCTCCTCCAAGATTGAATTCTTTTAGGTTAATCTCTCCCTCTTTCTAGCGTTCTTGCTTTCTCCGCGAAGTTTTGAAAGTTCCTGGATATTTTGCATAGGTTTGCATCATTAACTGAAACCAACAATATGTGCGTTGACATTGCTACAATCGTCGTTTGCTACATCTATAAAGCTATTAAAGTATGGGCATCTCGAGAATCTAACTTTTTAGCATCTTATTCTACTACTTAGCAAGATGAGTGTGGGTCTAAAGGAAATTGACCTTAATTATGTTGAATCCTCCCACAGATTTATGGCTTCTGACATGCTATGGACAAAAGATCAATACATCACAAGATTTTCGATCGTGAACTTCGATGATTTCAATACAGACTTTTTTTTTTTGTTTATTAATTTATTTGATAAGGCTCAAACGATCTAACTTTACTGAGCCGAGGATTCTTGGTCACCATACAATACATCTTAAAACTATAGTCAAAAGGTACAACACAATAAACACTTTATCTTCCGATATCCAAAAAGCCTCTTCCACCATCAGAACTGGAGCCGCTTCCAGTGGTTTCATTGTATGGTTGTTACACCAACAAGGGTCAGATCGCTTCCATTGCAGCAATGGACGCAAAACGTGGTCAGCACCCACACACTTATCACTAGACGGTTGCTTTCCAAAGTCGACGACGCATCGACCGAAAGAACTGCAGATAAAGAACAATGAGGAGGACCACACCATGGTTGCTGTCGAGAAAACAGACGATCGCGTGGCACACATCGAGAGTGGCCTGTTTCTGTCGACAGCCGAGTGAACTCAATACAGACTTTGGAAGAGTTAATATGCTACTGCGTTTTATTATATTATATTATTATATTCAACCAAATTCATTCGCGGCAGTATATTGAGAACATTCTAACGATTACATTTACGAAAGGACGATACGACAACCAATATTCTGACTCTAGTCAACCGGATCCTTATTTTAACTACAAAATATGGTAGCAGCCAGGCATAGAAAATCATTTACATTCATTTCGAGCATTCATTTACATTCATTTGCCTCTAACTTTTTTCGTCATTAGAATTTCGTAAAATAATGTATAAAGACTAACTCAAATCTGTATCTCTTATGCATGACGAAGAGTTCGCAGAACTTGTTATTGTTTTTCAATGAATGTAATTTACATTCACTGAAAAACGATGGTGAATTCTGCTTGCTCTGGTTCATCATGCATAAGAGATACAGATTTGAAATACTAACAAAAGTTGTAGTTAATATCAACACCTACAAAAGCTTCATATATTATTTTACGGAATTCTGATGATGAAAAAAGTTAGAAGCAAATTAATGTAAATGAATGCACGAAATGAATGTAAATGATTGTTCATGCCTGGTAGCAGCTGTCAATTTGATGAAACAACAACAAAAGCGACACAATGTATCATCATTGTTATCTGCGTTGCTTCGAGTTTTTTTTAGGCAATAAGACGTACTTTTTTAAACATTCCAATTTAATTTTTAAAATAATGTTATCATTATTACATTATTGCATTGATTCTTATCATCGGATTATTTTTACTCTAATAATGCACTGTTTGACAACTCTAATGTTTGAACTCTAATCTGGTGTTTTGATATGAGTTCCCGTTTCTCTTAATATTTTTCATCATAAAATAAAGCTTCTACTTCCCGAAATGGCTCTTACCGTTTCTTTTGAGCACAAAAATCCTATTTTAATAATTCGAACACTCAAATTGATTCGTTAACGATATATTCAGCAAAACAAATCTTTTTGGGACAGTTATGTGTAGAATTTAAACATGGGACAATTAGGCTTGATGTTGGTTTTAAATAAGCCTATAATAAATTACATGTTTTTATATTTTCATTCGAAGGCTTACGTAAAAAGTACTGTTTTATGAACAAAAGTGAATAACGTCCAAAGCTAACATGGGACAGATATGCGTAGAATGGCAGTACATGAGTCATGTAATATGAATGATGGATTCTTAAGCAGAAGTCAAGAAATTATTTTGTAAAACATCCATGATCTTATAGGGATTACGTTCACTGTATAAGCTTGTAGGTATGCGTGAAGCACTTATACTAAATTAACTAATTAAATTTAGCTAACTATATTGAAAGGTTAATAAATTTTTGCACAGAAGCCAAATCGATTTGCGATCTCCAACAAAGTTGAACTGCTTAGTTTACTTTATATTGCCCAGCTTTTGGCAATGTGTGAATTTTTGACAAGCAAATTAATATTTTCTGTCTTTTTCCCATACATTCTATCAAAAAACTTTAATGTTAATCTGAAACTCCAAAACATAACCAAATTCGTTCAAATTTGGCACAGTTGTTATGGACCCTAATACGATCGAATCAGCAAGGGGGTTGTCGGTTGGCTGGTTGTATTTATTAAAGAGATTTTCAGGCTGGTTCGATTGTGCCACGTTTGGCCTAAGAGCGTTTAGCATAAGGCCGTTTGGACTAAAGTCGTTTGGCATAATAGGTCAACATATTAACATACATATTGACTCACAAAATCAAAAACAGTAAAACTCGAATGAACTCCTTATGTTTAAAAAATGGACAAATCTTCACTGTTTTTTTATTTATTCAAAATGTTATGCATTATGCCAAACGATCGTTATGCCAATCGATCATGATGCCAATCAACTTTAGCTAAATAAAAATTATGCCAAACAACTTTTGGCCAAATGACATACAACCGGCTGGTTCATGTTTCGCAGAGGGTTTTAAGTTGCTTACGTTTGTAACGTAATAAATCAAAATGTGCAGACTAGTGCAGCTTATGTTTCTGCTTTTGAAAATTAGTTCGATCATCTTCCAATATTTTTCAAATAAAATATCTTCACGACACACTTGTAATACATTTCAATTACACTCAAGTCAGTCGCAATATATACGGTACATTTTTAACGATTTCTCGAAAACGATACAACTTATCGAACTAATTCTAACCACATTATCCGTTTTGAGTCATAGGTAATCAAATAGCATATTAAAAAAAATCACAATTTTTAGTGTAAATATAGAATCTTTTAACAATGTTTATATGGAGCCTAGCATGCTAATATTAGGAATGGCATCAAAATCTAAACGTTTAAAAATATTTAAGCATGTGAAAAATCTTAATTTTGGTATGTTTTTTAAACTGAGTGTGTTCTGTTTTGAAATATAAACAGCTCAAGCTGTCCATGAGCATCGCTTTCGTATGCTACAATCCCAACACATCCCTCAAGTGTTTCGCTACACAGAGACCACCATTGTCGTTTTCGTTCCCAATTAAGGTCAGCTGGCTGGCGATAAAAAAAAATAGATGCTGGGAAACAACGATTGTCTTTGGTGTAACAATTAGCCATTTTTTACCTGTTAGTGGTTCGTTTTTGCACCACATGCCATTAGAAATTTTAGATATCTGTATATAAGGCTTCACTTTGTCCATTTGGCCTTGTCCACGGGTATTGTCTGTAACATGAGTTTATTCAATTTCTTTAGTCAACACAACATTGATGGGACAATTGTTTCGTGCTGGTAGTCGTTGTGAATCACTGCAGGGGTCTATTTTCAACAGATATTAATTTATCGTATACATATTTTTGCTTCTTTGTAGGTTGGCCGTTCGTCAGAGTCACCGATAGATTTCGTTGTAATGGACACGCTGCCCGGTGATAAAAAAGATGCAAAAGTCCTGCAGAGTACCATATCGAGATTCGCCTGTCGAATCCTTGTGGATCGAAGTGATGGACATAAAGCGAGAATCTACGCAGCGGGATTTGACACAAGCAGAAACATTTTCCTAGGGGTAAGTTGATCATTGAACGTGCATATTATTTCCAGACTACTCCAGTGCTGAAGCGAAAGAGACGACACAAAGAAGTGTCGTAAATATCAAGTCTCATTAGCACCTGCGGGTGGTTTCCAGGAAGGATGGTATCTTTACCCTTTTCTGTTTTGCGGCCCCAACAGAAACCGACAGTTTGCTTTGCATAGTGGAATCGCAAATGTGCTAGTGTCCTACTTCGAAGTATAACTGTCGCGTGAGACAATGTGACACCTGTTCGGTAGGATAGCAACTGAAATAAAAGTCACTTGCAGTCATGCAAAGCTTGGGCAGGGCAATAGCATTTGCATAAATTTAAAAAAAAATGAAGTTTTGGGGAGGAAAAATAACATCCTGTAGGTGACACTTTAATTCGACATATACCACTGCGACAGGTATACATCACACAGATTCACTGGTAAATCACTTTAATCCTGCGCTGATATGTATTTCCTATTTTTTTTAATCAAAATTACCTACAATTTTAAATGTTTTGATGATTGCTTGAGGTGCTGTCTAAGTGATAACGGATACGTTCAACTATGTACTTCCTTCGGTGGGTTGCTTTCATGACCATTATAACCAATGCCAGCATCAAGTTTTTTTTTGCCATGAAAGTCGTTTTTCGCCTCTTGTATTGCCATGCGGTCATGTATAATCGTAAACATGCCTCAACAGAGACCCCTGTATAGCAAGAGGAAATGGTGTAAACTTGAACGTTATGGTGATTAACCTGACAGATGTTTTTCCCCTTTTCCTCGTTGCGATTACCTATACTATTGCCATTCAGTAAAACATTCGGCAAAACGACTTGTGTCGTGTTGCTCTTGCTCTATTTGGCGCGTCATCCAACTCCTTAAAGCATGTGCCACTGACTGCGGGGTCCGGTTTCAAACTTTCCGTCGTGTAACGATGAGTACTAACTGGATGTTGTTGTTCAACTAATAACGCAAGCTGTGGATTTCAATTTCACTTGCCATTTTTTGTTGTTGCTTCCCGGCACCTGCTTGTTACAGCGGTTAGGTTTTAAGCAATGCTGTAAGTGACATAAGAAGTAATTCCAATGGCTATGATGATGATGTGATTGCGGTAACATATTCCACGCTTGGAAGATGAGTTTCGTATGCGTTCCAAGTCAGTGCACGCACTGTTATGATATAAAACATGATGTTTTAATCAAATGTTTAAATTTTTGTATTTTTCTAAGATTTTATGGTTTACAGTTAAGCACTTACGTTTTTTTTTCAATATTTACCATTTCAGGAAAAAGCAACCAAATGGCAGGATAATGTGGAAATCGATGGCCTCACGACGAATGGCGTGCTTATCATGCACCCCAAAGGTCAGTTTTGTGGTGGTTCAGCTGAGTGCGGATTATGGCGCGAAACGTCAGTTGGAGGAGATGTGTTTAGTCTACGAGAGTGCCGGTCTGCGCAGCAGAAAGGCCAGCCAGTTTACGAAGAAACCAATGCCCTGCAGGATGGCACTCTAATCGATCTTTGCGGTGCAACTCTGTTGTGGCGATCGGCTGAGGGACTGAGGCATTCACCGGTATGTTTGATGTGTAGGATACTAATAATTGTTTCTAAAAACAAGTTTTTCTGCTTCTAGACCAAGAAAGACCTAGAAAAATTGGTAGACGAAATCAATGCTGGACGTCCACAGTGTCCGGTTGGCCTCAATACTTTGGTTATTCCTAGAAAAGTGTCATTGGGAGAGCACGTTAACCAGCCTTATGTGTATTTAAATTGTGGCCATGTACAAGGTGAGTGATAAAAGTCTGCTGTTGATTTGTATCTTTATTCAGAACTGGATTATTGCCATTTTAAAGACACTGCTAGCTGTCAGGGGCATTGACAGTGCCGAATTTACATTTATAGGGGCACGTGGTCAAACATGTGGGGCCCATCGAGTGGACCTAAGTCGATTTTAACAGTCACTAATTTTCATAATCTTCAACCCAAACTTCTTAATTCTAGATAGAGCTGGAGTTAGGGCGAAACAGCTTTTGTAAACAATGACTTCTATAATCGATTTCTAGGAACTCAAGGCTCGCCCACGCAAACTTACATAACCGTCGGGGGTAGGGGAAGTTTTCCTCTACCCGATGGTGTTGTTGATTTGCGTTGACGAGCCTTAACTTTCTAGAAATCATCGAAAGAAGCCATTGTTTATAAGAGTTGTTACGCCCTAATTCCAGCGCTATCTAGAATTATTCATTTGACGATCCACGGGTCCGCTCCCCCGTTAGAGTTTCAAGTAGGTATACCTAATCGTTACTATCGCTTCCAGTCGCCCTGAATGTTAAGCGATCTAATCTGCCGATGGACGCATAACTGTCCCATCTGACTTTTGACTGGAAATGTTCAATTCATAGGGGGAGGAGGGGCATAGTGAACAGGTGGGCCATAGTGAGCATCCCGGAGTTTGGCCCTGAATCTCTAGCTGCATGAAACAAATCAACTGGTAGTAGGTTCAATATCATTATGATAATGATCCAACCGCCAATAAATTTGTTCTGAACGGCCGGAAGTCCATGCTGGTGCACGGGATCCTCACTATGTCCCACCTGTTCACTATGCCCCTCTTACCCCTACGTCATAACAATGGAATTCATAACTCAGCTGATCAAACTTATAAAAGTATTATAAAATAGAGTAGACTGGATTCGAACCTTCAGATTAGTGAGTCCGTGACTTAAGCTCGCGTCTATCAAAGCTTGGGGAATCGGATAGGTTAAAGGCGTACGATAATCACTCATAAGCCGTGCTTATGGAATTGGGTTCTTTAAGGGTATTGAGGTAAATGCATATTTGTTATCTGCATTAAAAATGGAACTTAAACCCAAAATTTCATCAATTTTGGTACACTGGAACTATTTTAAATAAGTACGATTACATTTGCAAAAATCACCTTATTAGCGCCCCTCGGTGTCACTTTGTATGGGAGTGAGCTGTCAGTTTGTCAGTTTAGTGTCAAACAGTGAAGTTATTATTTTGCTTTAAATCTTGATTTAAAAATCGAGATGAATCTGTTTGGTTCGAAAAAAAAAAATCGCTGTACTCAGAAAACGAAGCTCTTTCCGATGATACATAATAACATATATTTTTTTTTCCAAAGTTTAAGAACGCAATTCATAAGTGTCTTATGAAATCAAAATTTGTCTAGGTTCATTAGTCATGTCTAATGGAATTCTTGAGTTTATTTACCTCAAATTAGAAAAATTCGAAAAATGACAAGTAGATTCGACCCTCTTGAATAAAGGGCGAAACAATTTAAAAACGAAAATCGATTAAGAGAACCGATCATCGCAGATAGGTCCTTGTGATTCTGAAAGCTAGATTTATAAAACAAATGTGTTATTTGCTTAAATTTCATATGTTGATTTCTAGTGGAACAAGTATGCGTCCATTATTGAATTGGAACATGCATGGGACTGATATGCGTCCACCGATATTAATGTCCTTTTCAACTGACAAAGCTTATTTGAGTGAGGTCGATTTTTTAAAATCTTTATTGCATAGATTTTTAGCCGTAGGCTAATTCATCTCTATGTGAGGTCGATGTATTCTGCCTATAACCGCATATTAGTCCCATATGGATTTTCGTCAATTTTGAGATAACAACGCTATCCACTATCAATTGGCATCTACTTTCATATTATGTTATAAAACTATGGACTTTGATCATGAAAAATATGAAAACAACATCAAGTCAGCTTGTCCCATCAAGCAAAGTAATCGCATATCAGTCCCATCCTAAAATTCAATCGTCCATAGTTCAAGTTAAAGTTCTGCTTTTCGAATCGCCATATTTTTCGCTGATATAACAGAACATGCAAGCTTCATTGTGATAGATTTTAACTTGAAAAAATATCAATAAATTTACTATGATTTTTCAAATATTTACATGAAAATTTCACTTCGTTACTTCGACTGCCATTTTCTCAATGCCTATTTTTTTTCCATATGGGACTGATATGCGATTATAGGCAGTAAAAGCGCAGCCCAGTTAGCGAATTCCACTCGTTTTTTTTTTTTTTAGTTCTTAACGAACTGCGTCGTTTTTTTAGTTCTTAACGAACTGCGCCGTGCAAGGTGAGCTGGTTGCCCCGAACATAGCGACGTTGACCACGACCTGAACTTCATCCTCCGAACTACTACGCTATATGAAACATTTTGACCACTGGTTTGCCTCCCGAATCAGGATTCTCAGGAACATTTCGCAGATATCTGAGCACACCACGATCTTGCCTTCCCTGAATCGTAGCAAAATTTTTACAAGCGATACGAGGAGCAGCATGTCGTTGAATGAAACTCCAACAGCCTTCGCAGCGGCATCCCACACCATTTGGATTTTCTTGGTGTTTTTTTTTTTGACGTAGGACTACGTCTTTGATTTCTATATAGGGGTACACTTTGTGAAAACCGAGATTGGAACATGTAATAAATTAAGAAAGATTTTGAACGTTAATAACTCAGCTGTCCCTGGTCCAATTTCAATAATTTTATCACCAATCGATCAGAAATATGGCTACGCATTGATAACAATGCTTCCGAATGTTGATTTTTAACAAGAAACTTTTGAAAAATTGGTAAATGTCTAGCATTGTCCAAAAGCGTCGAATTAACTAACAAATCCACCAATTACCTACATGCATATGCTGCTTCCCCAGCACAGTCGTCAGAGAGTAGTAAGTAGACGAAAAAAGTCAAAGTGGCATTCGCCTCCAACCTTGGGCGCGTGCGAATAGGGAGGATGGAATTGCGTAATATTTTGCACACTCATCGCCATACTCAGAACCACACGCTCCCAACGACCACACCACTGTGGTTTCGTCGAAATTAGTAGCAGCAGTAGCAGCAGAAGCAGTGCTTTCGGTGTGTGGCGTTGAAAATTGTTTTTCAGTAACAACGAAAGGCTGCCTGCAAGCAGCGAGCTGCAGAGCCCACATAAACAACCATCAAAGAAGGAAGAAGCTGCACCGCTATGCTATGGATCGGAATCAGTAGCTCTTCGTGAGTCGCTGCGGGTCGGTCATCTATGCCAAGCGTGTCACCCGCGCTCCAAACGACATACAGCTCAACAGCCTCATCCGTGTTGAACACCCAGCTCAGAATTACTCAACCATCACTACAAAACGGTCCTTTTCAGGGCCACCAAAAATTTGTTAAAGAGTATTATTTGGACATTGGCCAAGGTCATCAGTTCCCGCAAGCAGCTATCTATCAAGGCTCAACATGGTCTTTATAGAAGGTGTGGAATTGTAGGCCCGAATGTATTGGTGAGATTAATCAACGCCTGACCATTTTCCAGAACACGCTGGTAGGAAGTTTTAAAAATCCATATAGAATTAGAGAAGTGGGAATACTTCGCTTCGGTCCCCAGAAAGCCAATAAAATCAAATTTGTGAGAAAATTAGCTCTCACGAGCTCAATCGCTCGAAGTCCCTCCTTTTTTACATATTCTGCACAAACGATACTTTCCGCCCCGCCCCGAGGTGATTAATCAATACCACATCTTAAACAGCGAAGATGCAGCTGTTCAACTGATCCTTCATATCTGGAGTTCCTTCCATACACGCACCAACCCAGTCGAGTTTTAGTTGCGACTGGTTCACTGCTACTGCCTTCACGATTCTTCAAGCAGTGAGCAGTTGAACTTGCTCAAGACCAATGCTCATACCAGGTTTGGCGTTGACGTAGATGGCCACGGGAAGTCCTTGCAGATGCGGGAACGTATTCGATAGCTCTGTGTAGTCCAACGTTTGACTTGAAAGTCCTAGCTCACACACGGTTCGTACGATATCCAGCTGAACGAAACATAGCAAAGGATTTCGTGTTGTGATGATTGTGGTGAACAGTCTCGCCAAACTTTGTACCATCGGCAGTATCTTTGCGGCTACTGGACTGCAGCACATGGTGCCGTACATGGCATACATCTACTCCGCATTCCTTTTTCGAACGGCAAGGCCATTTACGATGCGGTATCAAGCATAATCGACACAAATTATTCTTCCGCATTGTCTTTCATCGGCCTCCGATGTCCAACTACTTAAAACTGGAACAGTTGAGAATCTTATGACCATCTTTGTCGCAGTAGGAACACGTTTTTGACGAACGTTCTCCTGCCACTATTTGTAACATCTAAGAATAGGAGAAAAATATAAAACTTGACGAACTTGTTAAAAACTGTTGGGAAAAATTACTTTTGAAATCGTACGTCGTGTGCCTAATAATGACGCACTAATTTTCCTATGTTCCTAATTTGACGCAAAATGTTCCTTATTAGACGCACTAAAAAAATGTTATAAATTCAATCCATAATGATCGATTGTTGAATATATTGTTATATGCATAACGGGTATATAACATTATATTATTTATTTAATGAGTTTGGCCTTTCAGGAACAGATTAAGACCATGTCGTAGACATAGATTTATCAACAATGTTCCGCACTGATTTCGCAATGTGCCTTGATTGACGCAAAGTGTTCTTTATTTGATGCTCTGAACAAAATTATGTGAATTAAACAAATAATTACTGTTTATTCACCTTTTTGTAATATACATATCGGAAAAAAAAACTTAACAAGGGCCATTAAATTACGAGTTTGACCTTTTTCGGAGCAGCTTTAGATTTAGACTCTTGACTGCAGATTTTTTGGCCTCTCTAGCCTTTTTCTTCTCTGCTCGAATCTGTTCTTCCTTCTGCTTTTCCGATTCCATTTTTGCATACCATGCTTTATATTCTTCACTTGTAGCA